CGTTTTATTTATATATGCATACGCACTTTATACTGAAGTCCACACCTCGACTCTGTGAGCTTGGAAACAGTGAAAAATATCCGTCAGTGATTAAAACACAAAACGTTTGCTCAGATTACAAAATACAGGCTGCGGTTAAACTCAGGAGAACATAATCAGCTGTTCTCAGATCAGGTGACTTCCAGTACAGTCGACAGCGATGATCGTGTGTGTATACGTGTGTGTGTGTGTGTGTGTGTGTGTGTGTGTGTGTACAGCACATGACCTGAAAGTCATAACACAGACCAGATGTTGCGCCTGCAGGGAGAGGAATGTGAAGGAGACCCCTGACTATTGTTTGTGTTGCATGTCAGCGCCGGACAAATAAACACACACATGTGCACACACGCACACGCACACACGGGGATATTAAACTCCCTGTCAGGGTCCTGTTGTTCATTCTTTAGGTTTCGTAGCAACAGTGACTCAGACCACGAGCTGCAGACAACGGGCTGAGTTAAAGGCGTCACTGTGCTCCGTCTCATCACTCATGACCATCATCACATGACGTCTTCAGCAGCAGCGGGAGGCCAACAGCGGCGCAGCTGCCCCTGACAGTGGACGTTCAAATCACAACTCTTAATGGTGACTTTGACCGGTTTCATCCAAAAACTTGTTGCGGATAAATACAGCGAAATAAAACCAGCAGGAAGATTTCTTCATAACCACGGGAAAAGACCCAGGGAAACTGAGGTAACCATAGAAAGGATCAAAACCCTGAAAACCACGACTTTCACACTTGAGCCTCAGCTCTCGCAGCCCGGTACCAAACGGCTCACCGACTGATACCGGTCCACTGTCGTTTCTTGTCCCAGTCGGAGCATTTTTTGTTTGGTCTTCCTAAAAGGAAGCTGATACAGAGAGCGGCTGTTCTGACTTTTTTGAAGGTCACACGTCCTTGCAGTCGCTATTTGCCTTTCACCAGATCAGTTTCTGCACAGGAACCTGCTGTAGGAAATGTGCACGTCAGGGGGTCAGACTGCGTTCAGGGTCAGAGGTCAGGGGTAAGGGGTCGCCCATGGTTTGTCTTGTATAAAGGAAGCAGGATAGAAAGTAATTGGAAAAAATAAATAAGTTCAGCATCTTTAAATGTCTGCGAGGCCAGGACAGGATGACTCAGTGACTCAAACACAGTTTATGAATCCGCTCTCTGTTCCACATTTCATTGGTCTGATATTAAATGTCATATCATGTGCAATAATATTTATTTAACTACCGGCTGTCAAATTTACTTTAAGAGGCGTTCAGCTCATGAAGCCTCTACCAGAGTCACAGCAAACAGCAACAATGATCCTGCTGTTGACTCTGCTGGAGAGCTGTGGCTGAGTTTATAGCACTGGGAGATATGGAGGTGGTTATATAACCAGATTAAAGCAGCTCCAGAATATTTGTACATTGCTGTTTTGGATTTACTGTTTTATGGCTTGTTGAACTCTTGGGAAATGCAATGAAATTATCATGATAATTAAAAGCAGGTTTAAAGAGGGGAGGGAACCAAAAATGGAGACGGGTTATAAAACCACCAATTTAATCTCACAAACAATAATTCATAAGTATGACTTTAGTAACTTCTGGTGTGAAGTTTTAATAAAAAATATTCACTCAGTTGTCGTGAAAGCATCGCTGCTGTGTCTACATTAAAACTCTGATTTGTGCAGTGTGCACAAATAAACATGACGACCAAATAACTGGACAGTCGTGGTCGTCATCCCTGCTGAACTGCAGCACATGAAGGACGATGTGCACCAGTTCATTGATGTCTGTGTCTTTTGTACTTGTATGCATGAAATTTGCTTTCATCTCTGCTTCGAGTCCTGATCCGGGCGAAGCAGCCAACGACTTCAAGGCCGTGACGCAGATATCAGAGCCACATGTACGGCACAGATGAGTAAAAGCATTAAAGTCAGCTTGTGTTTCACAGAGAGTCACTTACAAGGCAGCACTGAACACAGTTATTATACTTATGGAGCATAATTATGCCATAATTATTATGTTTGTCCCACAATATGAAAACACTTCAGCAACATGAACACAATCAATTTCTGATTACAAAAAAAACTTAGGCTTTAGATTTCCACTTCCTCCTCTCGTTCTTACATCTTTCTTCCTGTACCTCAGTGTGTGCTACCGTCTGCTACTGTTGCTGTTTCACTGTAATTTGTATCAACAGTGTAATGAACAGGATATAATTCTGAAATGAAAGTTAGCTGTAACAGAGTTATCAGTAGGGACGGGCACTGATAAGATTCATTTGATTGTCTTTGGGTTCTTACTGGCTCAGCTTTGAGAGTCTCCACAGTCTCCAAGCAGCATATCAAAGACTTTACCTTCATGTGAAGGAGTCGCATGCTGTGTGCTGCAGGTGCTTGTAAAGAGCTGGAGTTGCGTTGGCAGCATCCTGCAGTTGTTTCCGTCCTGCAGGCAGTTTGCAATTAACTCGTCCTTTTGTGCAATAAAAACAAAAGTAATGTTCATATCCAGGCTGGAGACTGAGCCACTACTTTCCTCCTCCGGCATGCAAAATGTAACTGAAGCGTGATCCATAACCAAGGAACTGAACCTCTGGGAACTGGTTCTCTATTTCTACTAATCTTAAATATTTCAACATCAATGAGGATGGTTCAAGTGCATTGATTTATTTTTTTATTCTGGGGCTTCCCTATAGTAGAGTTCATGGTCGACACACAACAGAGATGCAGGTGGATGTTGAACAGAAGATGAGC